AGGGCATTTTTTAAGAATTCGTCAGTGGGGGGCCATCTACAAAAAGGGACCATACTATACCGAGTGTGGAGCAATGATAGATGGTTTGTTGGTAACAAAACGTTTGGTGTGGTATCGCATTTAATAGTAGGGGGGGAGAGCAGGGCCGTAGGAAGCTCTTTTCGTTTGGGGGGGGGCTGAAAGCGAGGGCCGAAGGCCCGAGGAAATTTTTAAATTTAGAGTCTCTGAAATGCCATTTCCTGGACTTTGGGGAAGATTTGACAGATTTCTGATTGTCAGAAAACAGCGTTTTTAGTATGTGGAAATTTAGAATTCAGTAGTACTAAATGGGCGAAGGCGTATTTAATTAACGATATATTGGATAAGTTGCAGGAAAGTATGGGTAATATCTTCATTCTTTGCAGTTTGTCATGGATTAAATGATAAAGGTCTGCATGATTTTGAAAAATGAATGATTATTAGCAAATTATTGGGGGGCTGCAGCTCCCCAGCCCCCCCCCCCCGCCCTGCGGTTGCTACGGCCCTGGAGAGGGTCTGAGGTTTTCTCTCCCAGAAAATTTTTGTATTTTTCTACCCCTATGACTGCAATTCCCTGCATTTTCTGAAACAGATTTTTGGATATACAGCATTACATTATGCTGTAGATAGACTGAACCTTCAGTTAAGTACTTGCATAGTATGTTTATGTAGATACCACAACTTGGCCGTCACTTAGGGAGCCAGCTTGATAAACTTAGAGTTCCCGACTCCCACGAAGCGCCACCATGGTTGGCACAGAGCGGAAAAATTTTGAAAATTGTGCGTCTCTAAATCGTCGGAAATGGCATTTTCAAAGTCTTCTATACGTCTTTTGTTAGGCCCTTTCATTAATTCGTTCATTATGATTTGTGAGTCTATGATATCCGCGAGTCAGGATGGATTATTACGAGAAATGTTATCAAAATATCGATTACAGATATTTGATTATATGTATATATGATTTCAAATACTTCTAGTTTCGAAATCAAATTGTTTTTTTTTTGTGTGGGGCCAAAATTATCCCCCCCCCCCTTATAAAACACTTGGTTGAGGGCCTGTCGCCCCCTGCGGTCACTAACTTGTCCAACAACTCAAACTCTATAGGGTCTGGGAAATGTTTAAAATCTAATAAGGTATTTATTAAACATAAAAGACAGGACATAAGATTCACAAAGCAAATTTCAGTTACTAGAATATCAAACCTCCCTTCTAAATTCAATGTTTTTCTTATATTTTAGAGAAAAGGGACTTTGACTGGGTGGGCCAAAATGGTTGAGTGGGGGGGCCACCATGGGGGCTGGGGGGGCTTTGCCCCCCCCCCAGTTATATAGTTAAAAAATGCCCTGCTGCCAGCGGTAGAAGTTGAGCCATTTGGCTGTTGCCAAACTAAAAGGTCAATTAAAGGTCAGCCGTATTAAATAACTTAAAACTCGACGAAATATTGTAATGTTTTCTGTGCTTAAAACCATTTATTTTGACAATAACGACTATTCGAGCGTCGAAATTAAAGCCATAGGCGAAACACTTATGTGTTTCTATTAGAGCTGGCTCGTTTATTTCCACTTGGTCATTTCAAAACATTGCAAAACATTGCACGTTACGCATTTCAGGGAGCTTCCGCTGGATAGCAGGATTGACATAAGACCGCAATAGTTGGCGATGAAATACAGTTAAATTTGCCAAAGCCACGAACGAATTGCCTAAAACCATAGACAATCCACAAGACAAGTATAAAGAGCTGTATAAAAACAGCGACAATACATCAATTTTAATCGTTTATTCGTTTTGGATTTTGGTAGCAACAAGCCGTTCAAGATGACACATGCGCAAGCGTCACGCAAGCGCATCACGGATGGCACGCGCAAAACATTAGCCAGTTCCAGTCCCTGTCTTCTGGATTGTCTATGCTAAAACGAAGCTTCTGCTATAGTGGGGTAGTTCTTTGGAATAGTTTTCCTCAAGATATAAGACTACAATCATTTGCCTAATTTAGGAAAGCAATAGCGGAATATTATTAATAGAACTTGTCTGGAGGCCGCGCAGAACATTTGTAATTAGAACGAGTCGCCATGATCGCATCTGAAAACAGAGTCGTCAACTTGAATTGAAAATCGTTATATCTCAAGATTGTTGTCATACGGCGTGGAGTTGCCGTCTGACGGAAGTGCGCCGCTCAAAATAAAGTGCGGCTGACATGCATAGTCACATCATGATAATTCAGAGCGCGGCATGAAAAAAAGGGGTAATTAATGCTGGTATATACTGTATATTTTTAAGTTATACACGTTGCCCTAGTTGAAATTTTAAAGTATATGGCATGAAAATGACAGTGCCATTCCAAAATGAGTATAGAATTAACACACTTATAGTGTATTTAGCTTTCCACTCTGCAGGTTCCATTTGCTAAACAATTAAAGCTAAATATAACTACAAATTCTAAGTATAATAACTTTCATAAAAAATAATTTAAAATGATAATTTTGGATTGCAATAAATGTTATTTATTTACTCGGTTTAATTATGCATGTTCAGGGAATATTTAAATACAACAGTGCCTACAGTATTTTTATCACATAGATTATTTAATCCTCCTTATTATACCACTGTAACAGTGGTATAATAAGGAGGATTAAATAATCTATGTGATAAAAATACTGTAGGCCTACTACCTATACTTTTTAACCTATTTTGCATTAATCTACAAAAAAATCATCTTTTAGTTTAATACTGCCCGATTTATCGTGGAAAGTTTTGTGTACTATTCAATGAAGTTTTTCTTATATAAGCGAATCGTCAGAGGAACATTGTTCCATAACTAAGAAAGGCCTAGGGTGGATTTTCATTTAATATATTTAAAAAGAGGGGTAGGAAACTTTCTGGTGGGGTGCAAGCAGCACCATGCACTCAGTGAGCTTTGGCAGGGGTTAAAGGCGTTTGGGCTAAAGCCTTTCACACAAAATAGGAGGGGTGAAGAGTTTTAACTATAAAGTTTTAAATTGTCCGTGAATATGTTTGATACAGTAAAATAATAAAGCAACCCCAAATTTTTTCATTATTTCGTCAATTTTGAAACCAAATTTACTGAATCATTCAGACATATGAGTTCGTCGGAAAAAAACTGATGTTGTGCCGTGGTTGCAGTGACTTTTTGCCTATAATAGCTCGGCAAAATTCACTTACACCAAAGAGGTCTAGTATCGCCCCTGCAGATAGACAAAGTATCGTGTATACATATATAAGTTAGATTATACATATATTCTTTTCTTTTTTATAATGACCAATAACAAGGCTTGAATTTTTAATTTAATTTAATACTAAAATTAAATAAAATTAAAAATTTAAGCCTTGTTATTGGTCATTATAAAAAACAAAAGAGTATATTATTAAAATGAGGCTAAGGGAAAGTTCGATACTAAATATACTGAATTATACACATAGGTATATAGGCAAGTATCGTGTACATGTACAGATTATATACTGGCATATAAGTTAGAATGAACGTTAAGTTTCTCTCATATTTGAGCCGTCACGGGTTGCAGTCCAGGCAATATTTAACAAATATAAAACATTTTCTGTGTTGATATACAGTTTTAGTATATTTGCACAAGTGAATATAACAAATCCTACAAGTTAATTGGTCAAATTTGACGTATTAATTTAAGCTGTTATATACACCTACAGGTGAATATAACAAAATGGCGGCTAGCCGTTTTGTGGAAGTTACTGATAATCAGAAGACATTAAAACGAAATTAAAATAAATTCAGTCCCAAAAAACACAAAAGACTTGTTCCCGAGCCAACGGCGCGGAGCGCCGTGCGAGGGTACTAATTCCGCTTGGCTATTTACCCCCAGGGAAAGGAAAACATTAGCGAAGTCTAAAGTTCATCAGTGATCGCGGGCGTGGGTGACCAATAGTGGGTGATCATCCTTACGGCTATCAAAATATAGCGGACTGTCATGAATAGCGAACACTGATCGGTCCAATTTAAAGTTTGCATTATAAAGACTGCATGACGACAGCGAAATAGCAAACATTTCTTGATTTGATGATTTCTTGCAAATATATTTAATTTTTGCAAGATTTTGTAAATTTCAAAAGCTTCTTGAGAAGAAAGGCAAAAGCCATATTGAGATAGAAGGGAGCGAAGACGCCGACGTTTATATAACGAATGTAAGTTTTAAATTTGATGTATATTGTTTGCTTTATATTAGCTATAAAAAGCTGGGGCCGGTTGTATAAAACGTCGTTAACTTTAACTAATGTATGATTATGATCCAACTGGGCCAGTCCAATATTTTCTAATTATTTCAGTGTCGGTTATACAGTTTTATTATTAGTTTATAGTATCTACAAACGAGTCTAAGAAATAGAAGTTGATATTTACATTTCAATTAACAAAATTACTTAAAAATTACTATTAAAAGTACTCGGTACATTTCTTGCCTTATTTGTGTATATATGATACTTGATAGTTGATACTGCTTATACAATAATTATTTACAATTTTATGTTATACTACTAGTCGTTAGAAAAAGAATGCATAATGTCTATTGATATTGTTGTAATCAAAAATTCTAACTAATTACTTTATAAATTGCATGAATGATTGCATGGACCCCATCATAATCTACCATAATAAAGAAGACGAGAGGGATGATCATATATAGGCATAGCAGAAACCGATGGCACGGTCTGTATCGTGATTTTAACTCAATCCATTGGGATAAATTGATAAAATCGCGATATTGGTAAGTAATTTTTGCATATGCTACCTTTAGAGGATTATTTGTCGATTTTTCATGCTTTGCCAAAATGATCGTATTAATTTAAGGATGCAACATAAATGCACCAAAGAAAGCTGAACTTTCGTCGAAAAAATATTTCCTCTTAATTTTCATTCCTACCCATATTGTCTGGCCCTTGTAGATTTTGAAAACACCACTGATAAACTGAGTATGATATGGTTTATGATAATCAACAATACTGTAGATTGCTTTCAGGATTCTCTTGTTGTCGATATACACATTGAAACCAGTATAAGTGTTATTCTGATCAAAGTAATACATTTGACTGTAAACAAAGTAAACTCCATCAACATTGATTCTTAAATGACCGTTGTCTTCGTACTTCATTTTTCCAGATCGGTGTTGTTTTCTCCAGGATGTTACTGTATAAACATCTAAAAGGAAATAGAAAGTTCATCAGGAAAAAGTTCAAGTATTTCTTGAGATTAAACAACGAAGTATTAATGATCAGTGCCTCATTACAAATATTAATACCTTACCAACTTTAAATAATACGCGTGATTATACACCTCGTTCAAAACTGCAGTTGGTATATCTCAACTCAAGAATAGTGAGTATTGTTCTTACAGTTTCTATAAGTGCATATAGTGATTTTTGTGCTTCTAAATTAGAGCTTATGAACTGTCATCAAATTTGAGGATTTAATTGAATAGCAGCATAATTAATTAATAATTCATGAGGAGATACAAAAGAAATCACTGCCGTGTCCGTGGTTTTATATGTGATAAAAAATCATGTTTATTTACATAAACTTTAGCTTTGATTTTCTCGGCTTAGACAACGTTTATTTTTAAACTTACTTCATCGTATCGTTTCATACGATAAGCATACTCTATAGGCACACGCTGAATGTGCAAGCATACTCTAGGCACACGCTAGAGGTACGCCAGATGTACGGTACTCATACGCTGGCATTTCAAAGGTTTTTTGTGCGTATAAAAATCATTTCATTAATTTTCATACGCTTCTCATTGCACGTTTCTCTTATGCGCAATAGTGTGACAAGGCCTTAACACCTGATTTACAGAATTTTGCAACGAAATCCAACAGAGACGTGGATTAATTGACACAATTGAAACGATAGAATCAGTGCAGCCTGCGTATAGCAAGACAGTATAGAGCCGAAATTTGAAAGGGCGAACTTGACTAATCTTCCAGCCACTAAGAAGTGCATGACTCAGGCTAGTCATATTTGGAGTATACTGCCAAACAGTTATGAATTTTAACTGAAAATCATTAATCAAACCGTTAATCTGTGTGATTCAATAACCATCGTCTATTCTTAATTTAAATTACGAAAATAAGGATTTATTTACTTGAAGTTAAGCACCTTAAACGTGAAGGTAAAACAGGAGTTGGGTGTCAGGGGTAAGAGAGGGTCAGCAAAAATCAAGGTGGGCCAGGTTTCACTTATTTTTATAGAATGAATTTTCTGAGGGGGCGGGACCCCCAGTCCCCGCCCGCCACGCCTCTGACATGGAAGTGCAACTTAAAGATCCACCAACTGAAACTAACATAAAAAACCACCACCTCAAGCGGACATCCAAAGGCCGACCACCTCAAACTAACATCCAAAGACTCGCCGCCTCATATAAATTTACCTCTGGGTGCAGGTGGAGCTGATTGAATGTTACCTCCTGTCCCAACAATATGAGCTGATTCATTACACTAAAAACATTAAGAAATAGAGATATTATTATTGCTCAAGCATTGTTGGGGATGTTAGTTAGATTTTAAAGAAAAATTTTCACAAACTTGTTATGCTTTAAGGTGGCTCACTACAGTTATTCTTGTTTAAGCAATAATTCCGTAGAACAGGCTTATTCGTGCAGAACGCGAATTCTTTTCGACTTGGTGGTAATATTGGTCACCTAAGGAATATTTCGAACTAGATTTCGACGATGTCAATGTTCCCATGGCAACATGACGACAGCATAAAGCCTTCCAATTTAACCCATAAATGTGCCGCTATCTCAACAACGATGTCGGTGACCTATCTTTTTTATTTCATATATCAATAAGGAATGATGCTCTGCAACTGTGGTGAAAGTTTAAAAAAATTCTGTAGTGTGTGATTTTTTAAAAGCGAAAATTTTATTGCGAAATTTCCACACTAAAGATTTTTTAAAAATTGAAATTTATAAAATTTACCGCAAAATAAATTCGTGGTCAAAATTTGAAGATAGGTCACCGATGAAACTAATAAGTAAAATGCAAATAAAGTTAGAAAATAGCCTCGTGTAACTCGAGAAATTCCCCTACTGAAAAGCGTCGCTGACTAGTAAAAGATTGTACGCGGGCGCAGAACGAGTTTTCATTCAGCAAAATCGAGCCGCAATGTTGTTTTTACTGTTTTGTTTTTGTCAACTTTTCGATTTATTTGAGTGCTATGGACAGCCAAGGATTATTGTGAAGGATTAAATCGATGAAAACAAGGTTGAAGCTAATTGAATCCTGCCATTTACTCAATCTATGAGCTGTAACAGCCTATTAACAGGTGGACGTGTTTTTTTGTTTCATGTTTGGTTTTGTACTTTTTGCTAAAAATGAACAATTAGGCTATGAAACTGAAATATTTTACCGTTTACATATAATCACTTTAATCTTGTAGAAACACGACTACGTTTTCTTGAGAAGTAAACAACCAGTTTTTAAACGTTTGTATGCAATTTTGCAAATGTTTTACAGTTGACAATGTATATTTTAAAAACATTAAAAAACATTGTTTCGTAGCTATTTTTGGTCTAGTGGTATTCGTATCATATGTAGAATTGCTGTATAGACTCGCAAGTAATTTGGCACTCAAAACGAAGTATTACTCAACGCTTTTTCCCATTAGAAACCTTTCAAAAATAGCTTTTTTTAAAAAAAATATTTTGTTTTGTTTTGATCATGCGGTTGCGTGGGATAGTTCACGTACTGGTCCCGCGAACATCCCGCACGCAACTGTAGGCATGATCATGCGACCTCGATATTAACCTCCTTTTGAACATGCATAATGGCTTATACTACAATCCTGAAAAATATGCTTTAAAACGTCGCTTCTAAACAAGAGAATTTTCGGATCTTAAAATTTAAAAGTAAGTAAGCTTTTTCCTTATAAAATAGCATCCTCAAATGCTGTCTGTGTGCTTCAATTAACCCACTATGCCGCATTGGTTTAGGCATTTTTATAATAACAGTTGTCAAGGGGAGAGCTTGCAATTTGTCTCGAACTCATACATTCAGTACTTTGTTGTTTTATGCCGCATTGGTTCAGTGTGCAATATATATTTCTTTTACTTTTGTCGTCGCTTTTGTCTTTGTGTAACTTTTGTCTTTGTGTATATACTTTTGTCGTGGCTTTTGTCTTTATAATTGACAAGGTGAGAGCTTTCAAATATGAATATATCTTAACTGAACTGCTACAATGCACACAAATTAACCCTGGGTTAAAATTTAATTACCCAAGTGTTGTTTTGGTTTGTGTATTTCTGCATGTCTGTGTCTAATGCATTACTTAGTTATCAAAGGAAAACTGTGGATGTTAATGGGTTAATGCTGAAATACACCCTACTTTGTTCTTTTATTTTGTCCAAACACGCCAGTGGCGGCGCCAAGTGGGAGGGGATTAGTTTTTGCCCCCCCCCCCCATTTTCCCACCACCCCCAAAAAAATTATTAGTCACTAAGAGCGACTAAAGGCTACACAAGCGTTTTGTCGTTATCGTATGTATGGCTTATAAGTTGTCATTACTCATTAGTGAATGCGCGTATACATGAAACTGTTTTTTACAGTTTCAATATTAGTTTGTAAATCTCTGAATGGTAAAACCACAGGCGGCCCAATCTCGCAAGGGTCAGTGTAGACTTTATATAGTATAAATGTATATTATAGTAATGTATATTATAGTAAAAATATGCCATAAAATATAAATTTTAAAATGAAATTGACTTGCCTATTTGATAGTGTGTGTTCTCCTTTTATTCCTCCTTTGTTGGACTAATATTTTCCAAGACTTTGTACTCGATGTTACTAGTATACATGAAACATGATAAAGGCTAACGATTCCCGATCGTCGATACGACGGCACGGCACTTCGAATCGAAAATTTTCACACTCAAATCGCTTTATTCTCCAAAAAAATTCGCCAGCATGTACAACAAATGCCGTTCTTCGAAAATACGGTGGTACTTCGGCGAGATGTACAAGTTTTCGACCATATTTTAACAATGGAAATCAAAACCCATTTTATATTGAACTTACCCGGACCGAAAATTACTACGGCGAATGTTTGCGCAACCAGGCCTCCTTTACAGTTGGATTTACAGGGGGGAGGATGCCACTAATATATTCACGATAATATTTCGAATTAAAGTATCATATTCTACCATGCTTTCCAACAAAGAGCCGCTGTATATTACTTCTTCCTTAAATTTCTTCAATCTCTGTCGTTTAGTTTTCTTTTCTTCGACAACATCTCGAGTTTTATACAGTATCCGATCGAAGGAGTTTTTATTTTGAATATCAAATTTCAAATAATGTAAACAGTCGCCATCGCGGCCGCGATTGGTTGGCTGTTACCGGAAATATCTGCTTCCCCCCCTGTACATCCAACGGTAAAGGAGGCCTGGTTGCGCAAACATTCGCCGTAGTAATTTTCGGTCCGGGTAAGTTCAATATAAAATGGGTTTTGATTTCCATTGTTAAAATATGGTCGAAAACTTGTACATCTCGCCGAAGTACCACCGTATTTTCGAAGAACGGCATTTGTTGTACATGCTGGCGAATTTTTTTGGAGAATAAAGCGATTTGAGTGTGAAAATTTTCGATTCGAAGTGCCGTGCCGTCGTATCGACGATCGGGAATCGTTAGCCTTTCTCATGTTTCATGTATACTAGTAACATCGAGTACACAGTCTCGGAAAATATTAGTCCAACAAAGGAGGAATAAAAGGAGAACACACACTATCAAATAGGCAAGTCAATTTCATTTTAAAATTTATATTTTATGGCATATTTTTACTATAATATACATTACTATAATATACATTTATACTATATAAAGTCTACACTGACCCTTGCGAGATTGGGCCGCCTGTGGTAAAACTTGCCAATACTCCAATAATACGTTTCAAAAAAGACAAAAAAGCTTTAGTTTTGCAGAGTTAAATTCTCAAACGTGTAAGGCACTAATATGATGAAAGTATCACGAAATTATTTGAATAAACCACATCGCATATCCTAACTGAGGGGGG